GATCTGCCGTTCTATGCCGTAACTAATTTTCCAGTCAGATTCCGACGATGGTGGCCGAATCTGGCACCAGGTAGTGGGGTGTTTTTGTCATTTTATATGTTCAGGTCTTTAATTAAATTAGTAAACCTAAGGGCTTTTTCACAAATTTTTAAATTTTATCCTAATATTCCCCTATTCAATAACCCAATACTATCCCCAAATCCTATCCAAATATTAAACCAAACAACCATATTTTCTTCTTTTAAGGAATTATTTTAAATCCAGTTAAAGTGTATTATGTTGGGCACATATGAAGGCGGAATTCGAGTATTACTGTCCAAGCCGACGCCGACAAAAGGAAGTCGAAGCTTCTGCAGACTGCAGGTTTACTTTTCTTATTAGTTTTGATTTTTCTTTCTTTTCTGAGTAGTCTGCTCACAATCAGAATAAAAGCATCAAATGTGTGACTCTGATTCTAAACAGAAGCACACGAAAATTCACTGTTTTTTTTTTCCCCATTACAGCTTTCCTGGTGATCTAGATCGTATTGATAAATGTAGTTTATGAATTTTTGAAAAAGACAAGTATGTAAGTTTAGAGATGAAGGAAATAAAGGGTTCGTTGTTTGATACTTTTAAGGGGGGCGCTTTGACAACCCAGAAACTCTACATCAGATTGAAGATGAATGACATTTCCCACTTACAATGGTGAAAACGAGACGAAAAAGCTCCCTCTTTGGATCTGCAAATGCAAACAACCTCTCAATTAGTTCGGATTCCGACCAGAATCCTCAAGCCCCCAAAACCAGTTCACTAAACTGTCTTCGTGTCTTTGAATACTGTATGCCCAATTTCTTCTTAAATGTTGTTTTTTTTTTTTTTCAATCTTTGCTTGAGTACCCATATATCAATGTTTGTGTTTTATTTACTTGTTTTTTGTAGGTTTTGTTGTATGTTGGGGGCTGGTTAAGGCAAAGGAGCGTAAGCGCTTAGCTGTTGGGTTTTGCTCCAAGAGATAAGGCAGTTTTTTTTTTTTTTTTTAATTATTTGTTTGGATTCATTTGGGTGAGAGATTTTCATAAAAAATCAGTAATGTAATGAAGTTCCATTTATGTGATGAAGAAAATGATGGGGAATAGCTTTCAGTTTAATGAATTTTTGTTTACTATCTTGGTTTTTTAAAGAAGACAAGTATGAAGATATGTTGCTTCTTTATTATATATATTTTTTAAAGTTAATTTTATTTCAATGAATTATAGTTAGAGTGTTGGGTTAATCTCATTTTTGAGAGTAATCAAATTATTATTTTTTGTTGTTGTTTAGAAATTGAATGGGTGTATATGAAATTTTTGTTATATTAATATACATACTCAAAACTCTCTCAGCTTCACTTGTGTATTCACTGGTTGGTTATGGGGTCAACCTTTAGTAGTTATAATACTGTGGGGATACAATCTCAGCTAAGTGCGTTAAGGGATTTTATTTTCTCTGATGATTTCTTGGTTGAAAAAGAAGGATTTGAAAACATATATTTATCCGAGGATTTTGTATTTTAATTTATTAGTAACTGATTTCTTTCATGTTGCATTTTCAGTCTCTCTTGTGGCACTTAAAGTTTCTTTTTCTTTCTTTGGTATTCCATCTTGGATTTAGAATTGATTGTTTTGATTCTCGAGTCATTTTAGAAAATTTGCCTATATTTCATTTTGTTCTCGTGACCCCCCTATGGTAGATGGGATCCCTTTAGAGTTACTGATTGTTAGTTCTTCATTTGACATAAGTTCATTATTTGTTGCTTCTTCATTTCACTTCTGCTGTTTTGAATCAATAGATTCAATTTGTTTTTGTTTGTTATTGATTTATATTTTAGGAGTCTGGGGGTAGATCGTTTTGTTCTGCAGCCGTTGCCAAGAGACATGATACCACAACTCTTGAGACAGTAGATGGAATCACAGTTAAACTCAGTGGCTTCAAAATAGGTCTCGCACGCAACTAAATGGCTTCCCATTGGAGGTACATAAGCCTTTTTGTTCATTTCTCCTCCGTATAGTATCAGAATGCAACATGTTTGGTCTCAGTTTTATGAAATATTGAATAATTTGTGTTGGTTTTGCAACGTTAATATAGAAAGGTATATAACACCACTCCATATGGCTATGGATGAAGATATGTTGTGATACATTTCTCATGTTTCTAATTCCTACTGTAGCCCCCCTGGTTTTCTTTATGTGCCATTGGGTTTTTGGGAAGATTTAGTACACATTTAGGAAGTAGCATTAAAAGAATTAAGCTGGGATTGAGTAAATGTAAATTGGAATGCTGCTGCTGAAATAGAGGATATATGCATAGTTTGTAGAGGTGGTCGTATTTTTGATATTTAGAATTTGTAGATAATTCCAATTCTAAAATTCTAAACTTAACAGGTTTGCAATCTTTTCCGCTTGGATTTCCATTTTCTGGGAAGATATGGCAATCAGTATTGTGGCCAAGAATATCCTGACAAAGGCAACCCATCAAGGCCTATTTTGTTCAGGTCACATGTGTTCAAGTACATTCAGCCAGTTTCATTAGATGATATTCATGTGACTAGAATACGTGATCTTTTGCTTTTTCCTCAAGGAGATTCTGGTAATGTGAAGTGTTTAGAAATTTTAGCTGCAATATTGCAGCAGACGAAACTCCAAGTGATCCTGAGAATGTGAAGGCCGACTGGCAGTACAAGATCACGATGTTATCCTGGATGCAACAGAAACAAGAGCAGAGGAATTTCACAGTGATCTTACGAGGAAATGAATGTTCTTCCCCAAGTAAAGGGGTTACGGAAAGAAGCATGCCAGCCATTGGGAATACAGAATTAGAAGGCCACATAGTACTGCATATTATGTTCAGAATGGAACTCCTAGTATTCCTTCAAAATATAATTTACCCAAGTACAAAGATGATGATGGTCAATTTAAGAAGAGTACTGACTTCATTACCCCAAGTAGAGGTGTTATCACAAGAAGTATGGCTAGATTGAAGAATCTCGGAAACAAGCTGGAAGAGAATATTTCATTGCAATCATCAACCCAGTGTAACAATAGTGCTTCGGTTTTAAGTTCAAAAACCACAGGGATCCAGTCCAGAAAGACGGAAACTAGAAGTGATTCAAGAGGGTCTTCAGTCAGAAGATCCAACAGGCTGAAGAAGAGGAAGTGAGTCAGATATGTATATGCAAATATGCTTTAGAAATGAACGATAGTAATTCTACTAAGATTTGCTATATCTGCGGTGCCATTACAGCATGAATACAATATCAGACACCTGGCTTGTGAATAGAATTTCATAACATAAAAAGTTTAAGGGTATGTTTGGGAATACATAAACTTTGAAGTTTAATCAGTTTCAATTTAATTATGAGAATAATCAACCTGAAAGTAATGTTGAGTGGTGCTTGTCCTTGATAAATTTTACTTTTAAAGTTGCTTTTTGCTTCCCATAAATAATGTAAACAAAAGTATATTTTCATTTTCAAGGGGGTTTTTAGTTGAGTGTTTAAGACATAGCAATCTTTAAGAGGGGTACATAAAATTAATCATTATAATAAACCATTTTTTTTAATTACAAATTTAAAATTATAGCCAACATAACACTGAAATAACTAGTTTATAATTAAATTCTCTTCATTTAGATATCATAAACAACAATTAACCCCTGTTGTAAGTATTCTGTTAAGAGTTTTACTATTTAATTTAACGGATTTAGTGTACAATCTATTAGTCAGACAACAGATCACAAATAGAACAACGACTCTTGAGGGATAAATTATTATTTTAGATAAATGTAGGGGAGAAGAAAATAGTAACAAACTCTTTTTTTTTTTTTTTTTTTTTAACACAAAAGTTAATTAATATAACTATGTTTAATGTAACTAATTACTAATCCATATAAAAGTAAGCAAATTCATTCTCCTATTAAACTTGTAACAATGCTTTCTTTCATTATTTTAATTTCCCATGTTACAGGAAAATCAGTATTATCATTTTTTTTTTTCTCAATTTCAACGTTTGTTTCATTCTCTTAATTGACCATATAATTTGAAAATAATTAATGATGGTATGATTATGAGTTATGACATAGAATTTTATCATGAGTAAAACTTCTAATAACAGATACCTTTTATTTTATATGAAGCAAACTTATAAGAATAAATGAAATAAACCAATCACCATTGGGTGACCCAACGATCAACTAAGACTTTTGGGTGTATTACTTAAGAAATTCTGAGTTTGATCCATCTAGATTGCTAATAGGGATGTCAACTTTAGGGCCCCAGACTATCAGCAAACCACGAAACCTGAACATCAGCTAATCTCACATGGGTCACTAACCAATATAATTAACTAGGCTTTCTAATATAATAGATATTTCTTTGTTAACAACAATATCAATTTGGGCAGATTTACATTATTTTGACCTGGTTTTGACTTTGAGCTATCTATTTTCCAATAAGACAAGAAGACAGAATGCAAAATCATATAATTATCTATCCAGGAAACAGAAGGGATGTTGATGGTTAAACTCAAGTGAACCTTCATATTTACTTAAACACCAACTGGAAGAATAAAGCACCATTCATGCAGAATAAAGTGGAATTTTGTACTAAACTTCATATTACAATTATCCTAATGGTACTGATTCAACATCAAAAGAACATACGTAGGTACATCAAATATGTTCCTAAAAAATTAAGATTCATAGCATAATAACAAAATTAACATTGAATATAAATTTGAAATATGGATATTTCACATTTCCTCACTAATATGACCGAACAAGTTCAATGTTCTTTCTCATCTCGTTTTAGTGTATGTTCATACTTTCTTTAATAAAGTTCACTTAAAGTAGTCATCAGAAACACTCCAAATTTTTTTCAAAATATGACTATACTGAACTTTACCAGGTCTATACCACCTTAATTGATCATACAAATTATGAGAATCTGACCAAGTCATATCAACTTGAATAACTAGTTCTAATTTTTTGGCAATAACAAACTCTTATTAACAAGTCACATGTACAATAATGCATCCTCAGGAGTAAAAAATATGAATCCAAAATTTCTAAAACTAATATGTAATTTCTCAGAAGGTGTTGAACTTCATAAATAATAAAGGCATTACAAACAAGAAACATGCAGTAGAAAGCTGCAGGAGATTAAATATAAATTACAGCCATAATTTGTTAGTAAAGCAGCCTAAGTAGTGATGTGGATACCTGGATGCTGAGAGCAGGTAGAAAATCAAAGCTAATCTAACATTTCAATCAATAGTAGCGTGAGCCAGTATCATAAACACGGCCTCCAGGGTATGGACCTCTGGGCTCAAACCCATGATCCCTTGGACCCCCTAGAAAACGAGCCCGCTCTTTGTACGAGTCATAATGATCTGAGTCGTAGGCTCGGTATGTTTCGCCAACAGCAGCTGCAGCTGGAGTACTGCTGTAACCATGAGGATCACCGGGACCCATGCCACTGTTTGGATAATGGTCCATCATGGCTTGCTGATACTGCTGTTGTCGTGCATGTGATTCCTTCTGAAGGAACTCATCTCTACGACTTGCATGTCGGGCTCTAAGGGCAGCTAGCTGTTCCGCATGCTGAGCATTGATAGCATTTAATTTCTGAATTTAAAAACATACAAGATTTCATTGTTTAAGTCATACAATGGTTGGAACATACCTGCTAACCTCAATAAATGAATGCATAATCATGCATTCAGGCAGATATCTTAAACAATTGAAGAACACAATGCTAGGACACTTTCTTCTCCTCTTTTTCAAGTTACAATGTGTAAATTCAGAATTTCAAAATGAATAAAACTCCCAAAATCAAAACCGTATAAGACAATAAAATAGATGCAGACAATTTCACATGTTAGATTGCACTTTCATACGAAAATCCAACAACCGTAATATAATAAGATTTAAACTAAATATAACCATGTTCAACATCTTTTTTTTTCTTGATACCCTAGAAATGCCCAAAAGCAGTTTAGAAAATTGGGCCCTAGTGAACTCTACAATCTTTAAGAAGTGGGAAGCTTGCGCTTTTGTTAGGGAGGAGGTTCAATAAGAGTATCTGGACAAAAATAACAAATCCCTCATTATTATTTAACACTTTAACTAGCTGAGCAATCACAATTAAACATTCCATGACCTCTGCCTACAGAATGTTCTGGTAAATTTATAATTACAGGCAAGGGTGGACACATAGTTATGGTGGGTTAACTACTGAGTTGATTCTAGACTCATGTTGCAAACTTTCCAGAGAGATCTACTGCACCATTTCTGTTAGCAAGAGATAGGCCAAGGACCTGTCTCGGTGTGGATGTTTACAATACAATTTTTCTTACTGTTAAAACTCTACTCTACAAATGTCTGACTTTCCCAAACATGATATAGCTCCAACCATGAGGCAGAAAGAGAAGATTTTGTTAATAGTGCAAGAGCAGACAATTTTACAAAAACATGCACTATTTCTCCAACAATTTTATAATATGAACACGTGACATGGACCTTTGCTATCAAAGGTAAAGGCAACAAACTTTTCCTAGACAAAGAAGGTTAAAAAAAAAAAAAAAAAAAACCTAATGACTTTTATCTGATTATTATGCACACTTAGCTGACGCAGATTAACACAAGATAGCTGCACACATTTAATAGTATTCCAGTGTCTGATATTTACAAGGCTATCATGGATATAAGCTGCCATACATATAAACACACTGCACAAAATAAAAATTTCATATCATGATAGTTTTAACCATGCCAATTTTGCATATTATATCATGTTCTGAGCTTCAAGAAGAGAAATAATATTTCTAATCAAACTTTGGTATGTATTAAATTGTACTTAATTTACTGTTTTCATTGCGTTTTACTTTAATATGTTTAGCAAAAAACCGTCACAAATTATTCTAGAAGAAGCTTATCATTTAAGAAAAGTTGATTGCCAATAAGGCTCTAAGACACAAAGCTCACTGCTGAGAAAAAAGAAAAGCACATGCAACTTCATACAAACCTCTCTATGTCTAGCATTTTCTGCATCTTCAGCATCATTTTGTTCCTTTGCTAGTTTCTTTATGTCATCAATGAATTTCCGCTCAAGCCCTTCAAAACTATTTGATAAAGGCTTGCCTTCATAGCCAACATCCATATCTTCTTCATGAGGTCGAGATCTGGGTTCACTATTGTTTTGTTTCTCCAAAGCTAATTTAGGATCTGGCCTCTGACCCTGAAAATATGATCCTGATGCATCAACCCCTTGACCTGCATCACAGTAGACATGTATAATCAATTCAAACTTCAAAAGCATATTTCTAGAATGTGTAAGGCACACCAACTTTCACAAACTCAGTAATTTGTGTTTGAAACCAAACCCCCCCCCCCCCCCCAAACAAAAAAAAAAAAAAAAAAATGATTAATTCAATTGCTCACGAGAAATCATAGAAAATGACATATGCAAAGAAAGTTAAAAAATAATTACATAATTTTCAAAAATTTTAATGCTTTTCCAAAATAAACTATTTTTCAAAACAGCTTTGAGTAATTTTCTAAAGTAGACACAAGATTGTTAAGCTCCAGTATCAAATCTTTTACTTTGTTCATCAAGAAGTGGCATTAAATATAGCTCCAATGATACTGAATTGATAAAGCTATATGATAGAGATGTAATACATCAAGAACAAAAGCAAAGCCACAATGTCTCCAAACAACATAAATTTACAGCACATGAACAGAAACTCCACGATAAATAAATTTAAGTAAATAACAATCAATGCTTAAAAAAGGGGCCAAGCTGCTAAGTTGAGGACCAAATATAGCATTGGTACCATCATTTCATTTTCTAAATAAGAAATTATTCTCAATTAAGCCATCGTTTAGCTATACTAAAAGGACCCTGATCTCATTTAAAAGAAAATATGAGATAGAGATATAGAGAGAGAATGAGCCAGTAAAAAAACATGCCTTCATTATACATTTGAGATGCCATTGGATTGGGCACTTTCGACCCATCTCTTTCCCACCTCCATTGTCGCTCTGTTTTTGTTGGTGGAAACTGCTGCTCCCTCTCAGGAGTGAATGCCTCTAGCTGGCCTTGAAAATGACCAGACTTCTGTTCCATCCTTTGACCAGACATATGCTGCATTCGGGCAGCACCATATGCATTGGCACCAGGATCAGCATATTGTCCCTGCCGCCTCATATTTATTGTTTAATAAATCAGCTTGAATAGTTAACTTAACAACCCTGAAAGCCAGCACAAACAAGTCTAAAAGTTAGCAGCAAGCAAAGAGAATAGTATATTCTGCCATAATGCATATACTAAATTCCGTATCAAGAAAGCAAGAAATTTGACCTTTCAGCATTGGAACAAATTGATATGGAAAGGCATCATTTGAATTTGCAAATGGAGAGATATTGAGCCCAAACTTCAAATCCATCATGCAGTAAGACTTTACACAACATGAATTAGAAAGTGAAAACTTTTGCTACAAAAAGAATTAGAAAGAGACAGAAGCTCAAATACTTGGAAGTATGAAAACAGATGTTGCCCTAATGACACATCAAGAATAACAATGCAGACAATCAAGAAACTGAAAGTGGAATTTCAGAGGCAGTCAAAGAGAAAAGAAGAAAGACAACTTAAAAAGATGATATATGCCCTTGTAAGGAAGCTTTATCCACTACAAAACTCTTGAGATCTCACATTCCAAATTCTCTTCATAAAGAGAAAAGGGTGCTGTCCCACAACATGAATTAGAATAAAATGAAATCAGCAAGCCAAAACTTTACCCCAACTATGCGGCCTTCAATTAATAATAATAGAAAATAAAAAACCAGAAATTTTATGTTTGACGTCATCCCATTAAGGATTTAAAACTTCAAATCAAATAAAAAACAAGGCATAAACAGCATACTCTAAAATTCAATACTACCACAAACAAAGAATAAAAAATGATTAAACACTTCTCAATAGTACACAGCAATTTGATTTGGCAAAGAAAGAACAAATGACCAGTAAATTCCTTAAATTAAAATTAATATCATGAAATGTAATTTTATCGTGTATCAAAATCATTACGTCAACTCTAGTCTATGTTGTATTAACAAAGAGCAGGATTCAGAAACAGAACATAAAATACATTTAATTCCAAGTTGAAAAGCACTCCAGTCTACTTCCTCTTCTCATGAAACATCCAAATAAATAATCATAAAAGGCAAGCTCAATCAGCTAATATTCATCTAAAGAAACAACCAAGCTATTGAAAGGAACATTACTGAACAACCCCTATAGCTAAACTCTCAAATTAACATAAATAGGCCAAAAAAATAACTCTCAAACATGCCAAAACGCCAAATAAATTCAATATTTACATTCCTAATCCTATGCATAATAGCAATTTTGATACAGAAACAACATAAATATGTGATGGCTTTTATGTGTGTATAAATAAACATAACCATATGCAAGCAAGAAAAGGAGCTCTCTCAGGGACATTTCGTCAAGCAATTGACACGAAAATCTATATTTGGATCAACAAAACATGAAAACATAAACATAAATTTGATTAAAAAGTGAAGTAAAAGTGTAGAAAGCATAATGGAAAAGAAACCCATGAAAAGGAACTAGAAACTGTAAAGGGTATTTAAATTTACAGAAAGTAGTAATAAAGTAAAACAACTGTCTTACTTTTTGATGTTCTTTCTTCTTCTTCCCCTTGCGAGACGAGGGCAGGCTGAAACCCAAAGCCAACCCAGCGACAGTTTACCGTCTTATTAAAACGAAACTCCGAAGGATCGGATCCGGGTTTCGTAACCGGTTACTTGTTCGGGTCAACTGCTATTTTACGGGTTTGCTTAATATTTGTTCAGAGGCTAAATGGGCCATACTCAGTGATGTGGTTAACTAATGCCCGGGTGGAGGAATTTATAAAATATCTTGGGTGGGTCATTAGTATCCACAAAAATACAATCAATTTCAACCCAATTTTGTTGATGCAATTCAAAGTTTAGTTTAGAATATAATTTTTTTTTTTTTTTTTTTTATCAGCTTTAGTTATCTTTTCTGCATAATTAAGCATTAATCTATTTATTTTGCTTTGAAATTATGAATATATTTGAAATAAAAATGTCTATGTGATTATAATCCAAAAATAATTTTTAAAAACTAAAATTTGATTCAAAATTTTGAATTGTATTTTAATATTTAAAAATTTTTTTGATATGATTTTTAAAAGTTGTTTTCGCATTAAAAGTAACAGAAAGATATGAAAAGAACTTTTGATCATTTCTTTTTTATTTTACACTAATTCTTAGGATTGTATTTGAAAACTATTTTGAAAGTACTATAACTTATTTCTACAAAACGCATTTTCATGAGACATTTTGTATCCTTTGTATGCTATGACAATCAATTTATCACAAAACAAGTAAATTTAGCGTAAATGTAAGGAGTCGAGGGATAAAAAAAGCAAACACATGATGTATAACAGTTTGGCCCAAACCGGTCTACATCCACTCCTCGAAGCTCTCCCTAAAAGTATTCCACTAGCTCTTGGTTGTCAAACCCCGACCAAGCTTTCTTTAACTTTAGAAGTAGCTTCCAAGTTACTATTAGACCTTTACACTCTTTAGGACTCACTTTCTCTCACTAGAAATGCCTACAAACTCAAGAGTGAACCTTAATCTTTCTAAAGTTGAAAATAGATTAATGAAACAATGAAATAACTCTCTCACAGGGTAGATACACAAGTAATTTTGTTGAGCCTTCATGTGTTTTAATGCGCCAAAACTAATCAAAAGAATGTTTAAAGACTAACAAATGTGCAAAGGTATGACATAAGTCATAACCAAATGAATATGCAGTATTCTAGGTGGAACGACAATTCACGCAGATGGAATGCCTGTTCTAATCAATTATTTCTGAAGAAAAAGTCACAGTCAAGCAATTCCCAGTTGGAATGACATCTTCCATGATGCCGCTCATCTTTCTCTACAAAATGAAGCAATCTTCCAGTCAAATAGTTTCAAGTCGAATGACTGCCCCATCAAGCCATTCCAAACATTTTTGAAGAATTAGACAAAAAGGCTAAACACACATTTGAAGAAGGAACGACCAAACCCAATGATCGTTCTTCAAGACTGTTCCATATGAACGGTGTAGTTCCATCACATCATTCAACGTCCTCAAATCTTGACACCATTTTACAATTGGAAGAGGAACACCTGTTCCAAAAGGGGAATGCTTGTCCTACATCAAGTCAACACTTTGGACCTAGAAGATTTGAGCTTAAGTCAAGATTTTGGAAAAGTAAAGAGTCAGAACCAAATGACCTCGATGAACACTCGTTCCTAGAGTTCATCAAACCATTCTAAGAAGGAATGTCACCATTCCAGGAAGTCGTTCAACGTTTTAAAATTTTTGGACTTTAAGAGATCCAAGATGGAATGCACATTTGCGATAGGGGAATGCCTATTCACGATAGAGGAACGACCATTCCAAACTTTAAAATTCAAAGAAAAGTGATCGTTGGTGTTAGGAATGCCCATTCCTGATAATGGAACACCCGTTCCTCTGGTTCTGCAATTTTGTAGAAAGTTGCAACAGTGCATCAAATGAAGCAACAACTCTAATTTATTTCAAGGGTTAGTGAAGACATAAAAAGAGAGAGTTACTGTAAGAGAAAGACAGAGAAAGAACATTCCAACTATCAATCATCATTCTTGCAAACCCTAGAGCTCAATCTTAAACAAAATTTACTCTCTCATTTGTACTCAAACTCATTTCCTTAGAGAGAAACAAAAAACCCATTTGTGTATATCAGTCTAGCTTAGAGGTAATCATTAACAAAAACATTTGATTTATCCTTGTGGGCGAAATCCTATAAAATTAAAGGCAAAATACTATCGAACTATTGTAAAGGCAAAATCCTGTCAAACTATTGTATTGGCAAAATCCGAGTCTAGTGAAACTTCAAGGAATTTGCCTTGAAGAAGTGGAAATAGGAGGCTCTTGATCAAAGCTTCGAACCACTATAACTCTCTGAGCATTTCTCTCTCTCAACTCATTCACTACTTACTGCACATTTATTGCTCATATTTATTGTTATTGATTGTTCATATCATTTGGGTAGTTGAGAAATTTATTATTCCACATTTATTTCTATTAATTCCTATTTACCCCACTCTAGGAGTACTTGCCATATTAGGGTTTTACAATTGGTATAAGAGCTTGGGCTCTTTCATAGAAAATCAAATGATTTTAAGAGTTAATCAATCTAGATAAGACAAACACATCAACACCTCTCTTTGGTGAGGGTCATTGCTATATTAGATCCCCATTGTTTTGTGGTGTAAACTACACACATTGGAAGATTAGAATGAGATTACATATTAGGTCCATAAATTACAACTTGTGGAAAATAGTAGAGTAACGGAATTTTGTTCCCATAGACATTTAAGTTAATTGAGGGAACATTTTTTTGTTAATTGATCTAGAAATTTTAAAAAATTATTTGAGTACCTTTTCTATCAGCTTGTAACCAATTTTGAGAACACATCAATGCCTCTATCGTATTAGAATAAAGTCTGCTGCGAAGTGGACTCATTACATTGCCGCCAATGTTAAATGGGGACTCAGAAGCAACTGTGCAGACATGAATGGCAAGGACAATTCGAGCAATACTATGTAGGATAGGATATGTAGACCCATTTAATCTCCACCACCTCAATATATCAAAATCAGCACTGTTAGGCAGAATTGTGTCCTCCAAGTAATAGTCCAATTCTGCCTTCCCTCAGCGAATACTAATTTCTTTTTCCATAAACATATCAAAACCAGCCATATATCCTTCAGGAACTTTACTAGTATGAACAATGGTTTAAGAAAAAGGTGTATTGAAAGAGGTTTGATGTTGACAACTTTCTTGCCTTCGTTGGTACTAAAGAAACAAATAAGAACATAAGTTTCGAATCCTGATAATTTTATCTTGTGCATCATCTCCATAGATCAAAGGAAACAAATAATCTAATAACTTCAACTTATATCTAGGATCTAAACTTATTGCAAACCCCATAACACCTTGAATGATGTTCCAATACTTGGTAAACTTTTCATCCATCTTTGCCATCTGCCTTATCACATCATTTTTATATCTCAGCCAAAAGGACAATTGAAGTCTAATCTCATAAATTTTTGGAAAATAAACATTGGCCGTGGGATATGTTGTTTTGAAGAATAAGAGTGTCGTATCGTAAAATATCTTTAACTTTCCTGAAATTTCTTTAGCCAACTCCCATTCTTCCCCAATTGGCAAACATTTAAAATTTGGCTCACGAGGTTTTAAACGGCTAAATGCTACTTTGCAAATGAAAGCTGTTTCAGGCATCAAATAGGTGGAGCTCTAACAAGTCCTACAATCAAGAGCCAACTTCTTCGTACATTGAATGCTTGAATGAGTTGCCAATTCATCAAAATGTTGTTGTCTTTTAGGCGATGTCATCCAATAAGCAACACTATCACATATATTTGCTTTTGCTTCTGCAATCGCTCATAGTGTCACGGGCTGGGAGTTTCACACCCAAAAGGCTAACCTATTAGGTGGAGGGACTCCCCCCATTTATAAGCCCAAGACCTCCCCAATACGCTTTCAATGTGGGATTTGTTACATTCTCCCCCACCCAATCCTGTGACGCCCTCGTCACAGGTGGGGCCCCCTGCCTACCCATCCACCTCACTCTCGTGTGGACCCACAATCACACGTGGACGCCCCTGCGTGGGCGCTTGACGGGACATCGAAAGACGGATTGGGTCTGCTCTGATACCACTTGTCACGGGCTGGGAGTTTCACACCCAAAAGGCTAACCTATTAGGTGGAGGGACTCCCCCCATTTATAAGCCCAAGACCTTCCCAATACGCTTTCAATGTGGGATTTTTTACAATAGGCCATCTTAAACAATTAAATTCAAAATATGTGCATAACAACACATATGAAACAAATCACCATGTAGCATAAGCGATGTGCATTCAAGTTGTCCAAAGACATCCTGAACTACTACATCATTAGTGGGGCAGTTATCTACCATCAGTGTTGACAATTCCTATTAATTTTCCACTCAAAGAAACTATCCATCAAGGCCGTGGACAACACATCTTTAGTATGTGGGCAAGGCACATGTAAGAACCTACAAATAAATTAAACAAAAAATCATATATTAATATAGCTACACAATATGTATGAGGAAATAAGAATAATAAAACATAATCATGTAATACCTCAGAAGTCGATTTTGTAAAACCCAATTATTATCGATAAAACGTGCAGTCACGGTCATATATCCTTTGTTTAGATTTGTTACAGTCCACAAATCAGTGGTGATAGCAATTCTTCCCAGATTATTATTTAACATTTCCATGGACTTCTCCTTCTCAATTTTATAAATCTTCATAATATCCTTCTTGATGGTCCTCATAGAGACAACCGTAAACAAAGGTTACCTAGTGTTGCAGAATTTTCTAAACCCTGCATGATCACCATGCTAAGAGGATACTCATGTATAATAATCATATTTGCCAATTCATTTCTTGCCACCTCTTGGTCAAAATCTTAAGTGCTTAATGTCCTCTTAGAATCCTCTTTTTGGCTCACCACAAACAACTTTTGAGCTACCTCTCCATACTTTCTCTGTGGACAAAATTGATGGTGATCATGCAAATGTCGTGCTCCATTTTAGAACCACCGACAAGCTGTTTATGGCAATAGTGACACTATACCTTGTCCTTACCATCAACTTTGACTTTTGTGAAATGAAGTCATACAACTGACTTAGTCCTTCCACTTCTAGTAACACAATTTTCTTCAATTGAAATCCGGAAGGGGC